GAAACCCCAGGTTTTTTGGAACCACCAAATTCCCAAACCTCTGGAAATTTTGCACCAGATAGAGGCATTTCAGATATGACCAGATGCTTTGAGTATTCATAAATACAAAAGACTACACATTTCCAGAATGAAAACGCAGATGAAGAGATGCAAAATAATTTAGTAATAGGATATTTAAAAACAAGATTGAAGGACACAAAAAACAGGATAAAGTGGTTGATAGAGAAATAGATGAAGACAACTATATCAATGAACATTGATGTTTGAATCATTTCCATGGCTGTTGTGCCCACTGTGGAATAACATCTTATATTGAAATGAAGCAAGGCAAATTATCAAAAAACTTCACAGCACAAAGACTAGACAATACACTGTGCCATCCTGTGGATAATTGCACTCCATACTGTAAGTATTGTAATTGTAGTGCTCACTGATTATTTTTGAAAATATGGAAGTAAAGCAACAACTTTAAGAGATGCAAAAAAAGATTCTGAAATAAAACTGTTTGATGTTGAATATTTTTTTTTAGAAAAAATGTTGAGATAAAGAAAAAACACAAAGGTCAGAACAGTTTTGTAGCACCTCACAATAATCATACATACCAACTTGACATTTTCTTTTTTTTTAACCTGATGACATTGAAGCAACACAACAATTTAGAGCGGATTTAGTAATGACAGATGTTCTGAGTAAATATGCTGTGGTAGTGCCAATAAAGAGTAAAACCCCACCTGACATAATTGCTGGAACTATGGAAGGCTTAACCCCGCCTGCCATAATTGCTGGAACTATGGAAGGCTTACACAAAATGGGAAAGAAGTGCAAACTTTTGTATACTGATGATGAAAGAGGTATAGCAAGTGCTGATGGTGAAGGCATTGAGGGCAAGAGGACATACTGTCTTCGCTGAAAGATTTTTAGGATATTAAAGGATAAACCATTCAAAAGAGTTGAAAATGATGAGAAGAAGGGAAAGCAGAATATACAATGGACTGACTGCATATTAGAAATAATGCTGACTTATAATAAAGATGTGCATAGTGCAACAGGACTAACACCAAATGAAGCAAGGAAAGAGAAGAATGAGTTTAAAGCAAAATTGAATCTATCAGTGACAGCAAGTAAAGAAAATATGTATCCAACACTAGAGGTGAGAGACAGGGTAAAAATAATGAGGAAGAAAGCAATTACAGAGAAAGAGAGAACAAGTCATTTTTTACAAGGTGAATATACAGTAGAAAACATTGCAACAAAATTAGGAAAACAGTATCAAACATTAGAATGATTTAATCGTCCATTATTAAGGCACAAATTGTTAAAAATATAGTTTATTTAACAAACATACATTTTAAAGGAAATCTATTTAAAGAACTATTATGTTATAACACTACTAAAAATCATAAAACAGCGCACTCTGACAAACACCCGGACTCAAAAAAAACTATATACCCCCAAAATCGACCATGTTGGTAGTTTAGTAGCGGTTTGAAAGGGCGGCAATTTAAAACCAAATATAAACCGAATTTAGGGGATCCGGCATGACTTTTTTTAATTGGGGTCCGTTTTTTAATAGGTACTCGGGATTATTCTGCAGTCAAATCTCTCAAAGTTGGTTTTGCAAGCTGTGGGTCCAGTTTCTTTGTCTTCTTTGGCCTTTGTCTTCCAAGGTCCGGCTCTGTCTGACAAACAGGAAACTCACCAAAACAATTGTGCCAAGAGAACGTTGAAACAAACAGCTTTTTGCTCAATACCCCCCCCGGAATTCTACGAATCTGTTGGCCCACAGGGCCACAACGCTTAGTCCCAGTGGTCTTCGTCATTGTCGCACCACTCGAGCTGACGACATGATCGATGACGATTCCCCCAACATCGCCTCTTAGTTGTTCTGAATCTTGGGCTACCCTTTTTGATCCCCCGGCCTGATCAGAGTGTGACAATAAGCGAAAGGATCGCGGTCAGCGAGGGGGATGGATGGAGGCCTCGACAGTTGACTCTCCAAAACTCCTCTCTGTCCATGCATAGTGAGAGGGTCCAGCGCAGGGTTCTTCTCAAGTGGGGCGGTTGAGACACATCTACACATCTCCCATCTACGCATCTCACATCTGCACGTATCGCATCTAGATTACTCACCTCTTATAAACCATCTTACATCTGCAGATCTTCGCTCTTCTCTCACGTCGTCTCTCTTCTTTTACTGGTCTCTCTCAAGCGGAGGGCGGGGTGGACAAGATGACAAGCGCCGCCCGGAAGTGCAGTAACACCTGAATTGTTACCTCGCCGGCGTGACCCTCTGCGAGAATTGCGCACCAAGCGCCCAAAACTGAACGATTAGAACGCGCAGTTAGCGTGTTCAATATGCGCGCGGCAAGGCCCCGAAATGGCTGCTAAGTGCAACCTTTTGGATTCTCGTCGAAGATGAAACTGAGATGGCCAAAATGCGAAACTACCGTCCAGAATGAAGGTGTGGGTTGCCAAAGTGCAAAACTCTTGTTGAAGATAAGGCGCATGTCGCCAAAGTGTGAGATCGTTGTCGAACAAGTACGGGTGTGTTGCCTCAAAGTGTGAAGCCACCATTGAACGTGAAGTTGCGTGTTGCCAAAATGTGTAACCGTCCTTGAACATGAAGCTTGAGACGGCTAGACTGTTAAACTGTCGTCGACAACTTGCACTTGAAGCTGGCTGTGTTGTAGTACAAATGTAATCCGCCCGCGATGCCGGGAGTGACTTCAGCTTGCTCCGGGCCGGCTTTGTAGAACAACTTCTGTGCCCCACATGACTCCTGGAGTGCAAATGTCATACGGGTGACTGCTGGGTGCTCGGGGCTTCGGGCTCAGAACTTTGTGTCTTACAAAGCACGGTGTGGCGACATGATATACATCTGTGACAAACTGCGTTTGCGTGGTGGTGTCGCTGTGCCATTCAGTTTGGCGTGGCGAGGCTTCGGTGAACGTCAGTGTTGGGTTTCTGCTGAGAATTGTTGAGTTTGCACTCTTGCAGTGCGCGGCGTGGCTCAAAGTGGCGATTGACAGCCTCTGGCGCCAGCGCCAGAATTCACCATGACAGTGCCCTAGCATTCGACGTGTGCAACTGATACCCTCAAAGGTGAACCAGAATGTCTTTGCAAGGCTGCTGGCCGCTGGCTGGTGACTACTCATGGCATAGTTCGTCTTGAACCCTTGAGCTCGTGTTCACAACAAAAGAATTATTTGCCCAGATCGTATTTTGTCACCCACACCTGGCGCGACCCGGCGTTATGAAAAGACATACCGTGTAAGAAGAATAAGAATAAGAATAAGAAGAAAAAGAAGAAGAAGAAGAAGACGAGTGAGAATCTGAGCAAGGACATGTCTTTTGCTTAGATTTCACCTGAGAGCACCGGCTGTATCAGTGGCATGCTGGCGTGAGACACTAAAGAAAGTCTGTGCGAACACCGATGGACTGCATGCTGCATTTTTGCCTTGTTCCATTTGCCCTTCACATCCTTCTTGAAGTTGCAAGCTCCATGGCCCGAGATGCCACAGCTTCTGACTTCGCGCTCAGGTCATCTCAGCTATACTTCCGGGGTTGTGCAATGAATGGCGGCGCATCTGGCTAACAGTGATTCATGCGGGGTATTGGCGGTAATATACAACCGTAGAAGAAGTAAACTAGTGCTAGTAGTAGCAGTAGTGGCGGTGGTGGTGGTGGTGGTAGTAGTCGTCGTCGTCGTCGTATTATATGCATTTTGCTATATATGTTGAAGCAGGGTAATATCTTTCTTCTTTGTACTTGTTGACTTGTTGACAGTTGATTTTTGCGCAATTCCCTTGTGTTTCCTAATTCGTCGTTCTCGTCTGTAGTACGATCATTTGACGGCTCATGTTTTCTACTTTAGTACCGTGTTTTGGTGTGGCAACGGACTTAGGACGTAGGGAAGCCCACGCATTGACTTTCTTTTGGAGCTTATATAGCATGGAGTGCGGTTCTGTATGCTGGACATTGGTTTCTTTTGCTCTTTTCGTTGGCTTCGTCGCATCGGTCACGCAGTTCGCTCCGCGGACAACCGAGGAGGTTTTCGTTCGCTTGTCGCTTCGTCGACAACCGTTGTCGTGATTTCGTTGCCTGAGCACGATGGCTCACGAGGGTGGTAGTGATAGTTGAACTGTCACCACTATGTTGGGCACCTGATTTGTCTCGACATGTCTCGACTGTCTCGGCTCTATTGTTGGCAGCAAGCAAGAATGACAAAGGGAGTCAGAACCAGGAGATCTGCAATTCCATAAACAACATTAAACAACCAGCACGAGAACAAGAGGAACAAGAAAAAGAACTAGCGCACCTACGAGCTCATACGAGTCTCACAAGGTCCATGCCCCGCCGGCGCAACACGCTCCACACACCCCAAGCGTCACAGATTGGGCAACGCCATGCGTCACCCTTTTAAGCCTCCCTTCTCTGGATTTGTACCGAAGGCGCCGAACAAAAAGAGTTCTAGGACCCTGGAGAACAAAATTAAGCAAGGAAACTTAGGAAAGCAATCAAAGTTCTTCAACAAAGGTTCTCCCGCCTTCAGCGGTGGGAGAAGCTTACCGAAGGAATCCTCGCTGCAAAGGAGGTTGCCTGTGGCCTGTGGCAAAAAACCACTCCAATCTCGTGTCGAAGCCTTGCAAGTGATGAACGCAAGCAACCCAATGCCTTTCACCCGGCATGTTATGTGTAAAGTGCAAACAAAGTCACTTGACGATTTTTTGAGTCAGTGCCGATTGCGCGAAAGTCAGCAGTTTCCTGCATGTTGCTTGTGAGCCCAAACAAATCTCTGCACAACATGTGGTGAGTTTTGCACATGCGATTTGGAAAATAAATTGTAAACTACAAAATTGAAAGCGCGCTAAGACACCTATGCGTGCCCTGGGCCCCTTTGATAGTTGGGACTCGGCAAAAGCTCCACCTCCACGGCACCATGGCATCTGGAAAGCACGGCCCTCTCTCATGAGCAGTAAATAGCAGTAATGTATTTAATCCATTTCTTTGTCTTTGGGTTGGTTTCTATTGAAGACTAGCAAACATGTTGCGGAGGCGTCCTGACACAGCAAGCGGAAAAAAATCATATAGGATTATATATATATATAATATATATATAGGAAATCAATTTGTGCACATAAATTCTAATTGTGTAACTATGCCAACAGTTATGCATACTGGCGTCTGCCTTACTTGTCCTGTCTAGAGCCAATCCCAAACATTAACATTAACATTAACATTGCCAAATATTATGTTAACAACACCAATTACTCACCCCTGCTATTTTGCATACAGTAATTGCGCCACAAACCACACTCCTCTCATACAATCAGCTTGCCCGCAAGATCAAGAGACCTCGAAGAGATTTCACAAGTTCAGATTGAGTTTGGGAATTTTGGAGAGGCCTCAAGCTCAAACACCAAGCTCTGCTGAGCCTTGTTTCAAGAAGCCCCCGGAGAGTGTGTTTGTTTTACGACAAAATGCATTTCCAATCTTGTAAACTCTTTGGCTTTCGTTGAGGTCTTCTAAACATCGTTCTTGAGTGCGCCTGTAGTCCTTCTAACATGAAGGACAAGGAGGAACATGCCTTTTAGCGCGTGGGTTGCGTCAAGAGGATGTGGAGCAGGTTCCACCCCCGTCAGCGAGTGAGGGAGAAGACTGCTGTGATGGCTCATGGAATGTCATCAGCACCTTCCAGCTTTCAAACTATTTGTTGGGCGAGGCGACGGACGAGGCCATGTTGATTCTCACTTCGTTGCTTCATCGACGTCTACACCTAGTCCACTTCTTGGAGGACTGGATGTGGAACTGTTTGCGAGGTCGCTCATGCAGCAGAATGCAATTCCGCAAAAATAATTTGACAGGAGCTGGTTCAATTCGGCTACACATCCTGGACGGCGACGGCTACACATACTGTAGGGGCATGCTTGGGCAATGACACCGAAGGCAAGGGCTTGGTGGTTTGTGCATGGGGATCCTCAAATTTGTGAAGAGGCCATGGAGAGCAACAGAGCAACAAGGCACAAGGGAAACCAATGATGCCTCAACTACAAGGCCGACTTCAAGGAAGGAAGTCTTCAACAACATGTTCAACAACAGTCGAAACCGGAGATGAAGAAACTCAACACTGAGGATCACACTCATACTGCAGCTCAGTGCGGACAAGTTATTGAAGGAGAAACCCAACAAAGTCATCCTCGTGAATCAGCAAGAAACTACAATGACAATGAGATCGACGATGGGATTGGGGACACGGGACACCATTCAACCTCAAGGCAATGATGCATGAGGGTTCCAATGGATTGGCTTTCTCTACGGTGGGAATGGACCTAGGCTCATCTCGCGTGGTTTTAGATGGTTTTGGAGGTCCAAGAGGCAGTTTCAACCAGCGGCAGACTGAGGCAACTGCAGACCCCCTCCAAAGCAGCAAAGGTCAGCAGAAAGCAGCACAGTTTGAGTTGGGCGAGCTGAGCTGTGTGGGCTACGTGCAATTGGGTGAGTTGAGTTGTGTGAGTTGGATGACTTGTGTTGTGTGAGTTGGGGTGTGTGAGTTGATGAGTTGAACTGTGTGGGTTGAGTCAGTTGAATTGGATAAGTTCAAAAAGTTATTGAATTGAAGTGTATAATTAGGGTGGGCCTGGTTGACCAAGCCAATCAACATCAACAAGCACTCTAAAAGTGGACAAAAACAATGCAACACCATACCCAACACCGAAGCGAACAAAACATAGGGACATAGGGCCTTTAAGCCACACCCTGTAACATGCAATATATGGTGGTTGATCAATATTCTTTCATCCTGGGATGGCCATTCATCGCGGAAAAAAGTTATCTTTCGCGGATCTTTCGCGGCCTCATCGCGAAGCATGGTCCTACAACCATGTCTAGCTAACATGAGCCGGAACATGTCATAGTATCACGAAATAGGGAGAGACATCTTGCAGCATGACCCCAGTAGATGGTTGAACGTTTCCACAGCTACTCAGGGTCACTTGCAGCATCTGTGCGACAATTGTGCCAAATAGAGTCAGGCGCAACTCAACCCAATCCCCGTGCCAGCTACCAACACAGGGTGATGCAGCTTGGGGAATGTTGGGGGGCCTCAAGCTGGGAACCTAGACTTTAGCGGCACATTCGCGAAGCTCGCGAAATTTCACTGGTGCTTTCCCTGGGAAGCTGTAACGTTTGCAAAGATCTGCACAGCCCGTCAGAGCTGCAGGTCGTTGCCTCACTGTCAGGGCTGTGCCTACCCAGATTGCTAGTCTGTGACAGTGGGGACAGGAATCGGAGAATCCTTTACGCACTGCCAGGGCTGGGCACAGAAATGTTGAAGCTTCAGTTCGTTAGTCTGTGACATATGGGGACACTTCCGTCCACTGGCTCTGCCGGAGGATTGCCTTGCGTTTCTATTCTTTGTCAGTCCGGTAGAAAAGGAAAACAATGAAAGCGATGACCTTCGATAAATCTTTCGCGTAAAAAAAGATACTTTCGCGAACCTCATCGCGAATCTTTCGCGGATGGTTCTAACAACATCTGAAAAAACTCCTTACACGGGGTTTTCGATCAACTCCCATATATGTTTCTCATAATTGCTGATTGTGGACCGCAGCTTCGAAGACTCAAGGCTGTCGTATGCCAGACTTGCGGCAGGGGCAGCGGGGGGAACCGTTTCGACTTTACTCCTCTCCGTGCTTCACTCGATTGTTAGTCCCTTCAGGTTCCCTCCTCCTTCCAATTCCTGAAGATTTTCAGTGTATCTGCCCAGCAAGGTGGGGTTGGCCGGAACAGATCCGTTGGGAGCATTTCCTGGCTGGTCTTTTGAGTGGTGTCTTGGCAGGGCCCTTATTGGCCTTGGCTTGGATCCTGTGTGAGAGGTGGCGCAGATTTGTGCTGGCACCACTTTGGCGTGGTCGTCTACCCCGGCCGCTTTACCGGGTTTCACAGGAGTGAGAACCTCAAATCCTCTCTTCGAGCTTTGAGAGAGGACCTCCAGAGTGTGTCTCGGCAGTTAGCCTCGATCTCGGATCGCATCGGTGCCTTGGAGCTAGAGGTGGAGGAAGATTCTTTTTCTTTTGTTGAGGCTCCCAGGACCCCGTCGCCAAGTTGGAACCTTCTTGAGGAAGGCAGTGCTTGGTGAGGTGAGGGGACCCAGCGGCCGAGACCGCATCAAGCAAGCGAGCCGCTATTACATCGTTTGCAAGGACATCTAGGGCCAAGTGTTTACTCACCCGGTCAAGATCTTTTCCAAGTGGTCTGAGGCCAAAACATTTGCTCCGATTCCCAAGGTGATTTTGGAGATTCTGTTTTTGTAGGCCTGCCATCTTTGAGAGAAGTGCGAGCCGCTTTGCGTGGTGCTGGATTCTCTGTGCCGGAAGAGGCGCTCCATGGCCAGTGACTTGGACTTCGAAGCAGCTCGGCCTTTAGACCTCCCTGTTCCCGACGGTGGTCCTGAGGCCAGTTCCCAGGTTTCTTTTGTCCATTTTGAAGGGAATACGGATACGGATCTTCACTACGACGTTGGTAGAATTCTGTTAGCAGATGAAACCAGCACCTCCGCTATCATCCTGCAGAACGAATCCCTTTTTTGTGCGGTCCCCTTTGAAAGCTGGAACCGTAAAGTTTCTTCGGGACTTTTGCCACCTCGGGCCATTTCACGCCCTGGTTGCTGTGTTCTGTCTCAGCATGCCATTCAGCTCGACTGCAAATGAAGATTTGGGTGGGAGTTTTGTCCCCAAGTATGATGGAGAGAATCACTTTCGAGCCGGCAGAGGAGGCCAACTACCCGTTCAGTGGAGTGGATCTGATCATGGAAAAGTTCGATTTCCTTCCTTAGGGGGCCGCCCACTTATAAGTTAAGTTATAAGTTATTGAAAGTTAGGTCCTAACCTCGATAAGTTTGGTCCTAACGTATATAAGTGCATGGCTGGTTCGGTGGACTTAGGTCCTGACATAGGGAGACTTGTAAGGCTTGAACCTTAAGTTGTGATAAGTTGCGTAAGTGCAATGAGCGAATCGATCTGTTCGGACTTAGCGGAGTTAGCCACACTTAGCGAACCCATAGATGTTCAAACCGTTTCGATAGAACTTTGCATAAAACACATGGAAAAATGAAGAATACAGGAAGCATGACGCTTGCGTTGGACGCTTGCGGTCTACTGCTGGCTCCTGCGTACCGCGTGGAGAGCGCGCTTGGCCTACTGGGGCCTCTGTAGGACAGCCTATAGAGAAGAGCAGCGGAGCAGCCCGCGAGGAGAGAAAAGTAATGAAAAGTGAGTGTCTCGTAAATGTCTCGTGGGTCGGACAGGGGTATAGTCTCCGCAATGTCTCGTGGTGTCTCGCAATATAGCAGTAAAGGTGGGACGTCCCTAAACATAGCACGGTGAGATGTCTCGCGATGTCTCGTAAGTGTCTCGTGGACTCACGCACAACGTCGAGATTCGGTGGTATTCATTTGAGGGCATGCAGCCGGGCTCAAGAGAACGAGTGCGTATAGACATAGCCTTTCAGTAAACTGCGTGGCGGAGAGACGTGATGGACGAGTATATATACATTGCATATTTGATGGTACGTTGACCGCTCTGATACACTTTGCAACATCGAAAACAAGAAAAAACATACGTGACAAGTTTTTTTAAAACAAGGCTGTTGGACTTATGATCACTTACACGGACTTAATGAACTTACATGGACTTAGGCCTAAGTGGACTTATAAGTCACTTACAGATAAGTTGTTATAAGTCAAGTTATAAGTGAGCGGCCCCCTAAGTCCGGCAGAGTCCGGAGGTCCCGACGCCAGTCGGCCTGCAGACGAGGCGTGGTGTGAGTCAGAGGCTTGCCATGCTGGAGACTGGGATGAAAGAGATTCGCGGGCTCCTTCAAGATCTGGCCGGCCAGAAGGCTCACAGCCGACCTACCACCAGAAGCCCTTCGCCTCAAGCTCCAAGACGACCAGGGGTTTTGAGGAAAGGAA